GTTCATGATATTTGAAGATACTGGCAGCACTTTACTATCTCTCAGCCTGCGCAGCGCATGTGTCGAATAATTGTTGTTGACACATTCCAATTTATGGATTCGGAGAACCGCAACCGTGAAGTTTCGAGCCAAGTTCCACCATAGATTCCCCAAAACCGGGTACAGATTCCCCAGTAGCGCACATCCTAATGCCTGTCCGCCGCAGTGATCCATTCTGCGTAAGGTAGACCAAAATCAGGGCACCCGCTAATGCTGACTACTAGTACTAGGTAATCTGGATTGTGTTTCAGTTTGAGCAATTCGAAATTGGCTTGGCGGAACACTTTCGTTGCATTCACCAGTGTCATTTTCACATAACAGATTCGTCTCGTTTCTTCTCGTCCAGTTCGTACATTACATTGGCCACCTTAAACCGTGCATCCGCGTTGTCCCGGTTCGCTGCCAGGTATCTAACTTTGATCTCCGCAGCCGATTTCGATCTCCGGAAGAGTTTCAGCGATTTGAACAGCAGCTTGACCCGGCGACTGTGGATTTAAAATGCAATCAGATGCGTTTCGATATTCCTTTTGCCGAGGTCTTTGTCAAACAGCGGTCTTGAGGAGCTCCTCCGGTTGGGCCAGTTTGTCCGGTATCCGGATCATTGCTTTGACTCTCGTCTTGGTTCGGATTCCACTGCTTCTTGTGTTGTTTCTTCGCCTTCAAAACACAACATGACATTTCAGATTAACCGGGTTGCCAAGACTGCCATTATTGACAAGCAATCAAAGTCAGTCTGATGACTGGCACTCTCAGCACTGCTGGCACAGCTGCGGCACACTGTGAATAAAAGTGTGTAGAGTGGCCACCCCTTGTACATTTCTCCAAAACTGATGGTGTAAGTACATGATATGATTCAAACCTCAGTTTCCTCGGCCCGCACCCTCACTTTTATGATAAAAACCCACCCCAAGGTGTTGGAGACATTACATTTGAAAGTAGATATTCCATTCAACAAATCGCCAGGAAGAGAACAAACCCGTAACATGAACTGCAAAATTTATCGATCAGAAACTGCTAAGCTTGCAGTAGATAAATCTGCTCGGTGACCTAACAAATGGATCTCGAATGTTTAGATCCAAACCCCTGTTGTTCACGAATCTCAATGCTTAATTTAAAAAATTGTGTTTTGTCGTTGTTTTCTCTTTGTGGGACTCTTATCATAACTTCGACTCTGCATAAACCTCACAGCAGCGTAGTAGTAGCATAGAGGTAACTCTAAGACTAGAAGGTCCCGAAATAACGTGCTCAAATTTTTGGCTCAGCTCTGGTACTGTCTTCGGTCTCAAGCTAATCGATTCACCTCTCGAAACATAGGAAAAACCAATAACCCCTCATTTTATCTGTCAAACTTTCATAGCGAATCAAAACAAACATTGCGTAGTACTAGAATTTCGACTAGAATGGGGTACGTTAATCGTTTGCTTGGGACCAATAGGCTAGTCAAATAGTGAGCCAATTTAAAATCGTTCGTTTCGAATTGATTGTTGGTAGTAGCAACCGGTGGAAACTAACGATTTAAAATTGGCTCACTACTTGACTAGCCTATTGGTCCCAAGCAAATCGATTAACGTACCCCATTTTAGTCGAAATTCTAGTACTACACTATGTTTGTTTTGATTCGCTATGGGAGTTCGACAGACAAAATGAGGGGTTCGTGGATTTTCCTATGTTTCGAGGGGTGCATCGATTAGCTTGGGACCGAAGAGAGTACCAGAGCTGACCTAGAAAGTTGAGCACGTTTCTTGGGGACCTTCTAGTCTTAGAGTTACCTCTATGGTAGTAGCGTGGCAAATTCGTTTATTAACGGGGTTGAAACCAGTTCCAACTCAGAGTGAGTCCAAACTTTTTGTCAGTACGAACCTCATCCTGAGGTAGGTTAAAAAAAAATCGATCAAACTGACGTTTGTCGGAAAACAAGCAGACCCAATCTAGGTACCCGATCCAGGTTGGAACTGTTTTTTTTTTTTTTTTTTTTTTTTTTTTTTCCTTGATTTGTTTTCCGTCGATCTTGTTTTCCGTGCTGAGCACCAATGCTACCGACGTGCCAGGAAGGCAGCTCCCACACCTGGACCCTACCTATCGACCCATCAACTCATGAACCGGGACCAACGGCTTTACTTCCCATCCGAAGGAAGGCGTGATCAGAGATGTTATGCCTCAGAACATCCCGGCGGCACCGACTGGGATTGAACCCAGGCCTGCTGAGGTGAGAGGTAATCACGCTTACCACTACACCACCGGCGCCGCTTGGGTTGGAACTGTATAATGAACGAATTCACTATTAGTGTCAAAAACCACAGTGAAGGATACATGTATTCCCACGCGTGGAAAGCTAGATAGGTTAGTGCACTATGTATCTCTCAAACGCCCCAAATTTGCTGTTTGTAAAAGGCGAGCAACTTCGTCCATCTGAGGTATCAACAAGTCAACAAATACCAGAAGGAGAAATAAAAGTCAAAATCTGCCTAACGATAACAGATCAACGATTTTTGGTTCCAGACTCCGGTTGTAAGCAATCATCGAGGAACCATACCACAGAGAAACCATACTGCCAGTTAGCAAACTGCCGTTTAACCGGTTCGATTACCGCCCTTTCTCCTTCCCGACATTCGATCGACATTGATCCCACACCGTAACGGTTCTACGGCCACCCTCGACTAGCGCCACCCTTCCCCGCCAGGCTTGCCCGAAAACCAACGACGGTGCTATTAATTACTTCATTCTCCTTCCCATTTGCAGAACAAACCAACTCCAACCGATCCGCACATGCTCCGAAGAAAACCGCAAGATGTGATGCGATATAATTGGGGAAGGCGCTCGATCTCGGTACATACATACAAGCCGTACTTGGCCACGGCACAGGAGAGTGAATTAGAATGCAATTAAAATGACAAGCCGTGAAGAGTGCCCATACTCCGACGACGACGACGACGGCGACGGTAACGTTGATGCCGATGTGACGGTGTCGGTGACGGGACTAGCTTTATAAGGGCATCCGCTTCTCTATCTCCTAGGAGACATCTATGCGAAACCGGCAACCTGCCGGCATTGCTGTGTTTTCAATTGCGGATGTTTGTTTTTGCAGGCCAATTTAGCGCGAAGCGTGACCGCGGACGCTCTAATTGACTTTGGCGAGACCGATGATTCCACGCGAGCGTGAACTGGAGACACCGATCGACCGGATCGATCGATCGAAGAATCATGTCCAGCTGCCAAATCTTGCGACGGGCCATCTCTTTGATAAGCCGGTTCGTAGGCTGGTTTTTGTTTTACTAAATTGTGTGCAAAGACGTTAGTCATATCGCGTAGCTCTGCTAAAAGCTTTTTGACGCTATTTCCCAGAGTGAACCGGGTGGAAGAAGCAGTTCAAAGGCAGCGAGCCGCCACCGCCACAATCTTATCTACGCCATTCTTCGCCTCAAGTGCGAGCGGGTAAACCAAACCAAAACGCCCGCAATCAATGGCGTCGAAGAATCTACTTAGAGTAAACAGAAACACTGCATGTGGAAGAAAGTGGATCAATTAGAACCGTTTATGACCAAAAATGATGCGGTCGCTGTCAAGTGCGAGATTCCTTTTCTCCGGGTGGATGAAAGCTCGTCCGCGACCATCAGCTCGTAGATGGAGCTATAATTGTTCAATTAAATACCAATTATCAGTCGAAGCGAAGCCGAAGCGTCGAAACCTGATATTGCAATTACCGGCAGTGGTGGAGCGCTCCGCTTCGTACGGTGCGCGCATCCATAAGAAATACGAGAAGGCCTTTGTCGGCATATTTCCACGCTGTCGTCTGTGCGAAGGAAATATTTATATAAAAGGCTATATAGATAAGATAGCTACATACGAATTTATGACCGCAAACATATTTTTGCGTCCCTGATAAGGTTCTATTCTCTCAGTTTGCCTGGCGGTGGCGGCGGCGGCGCTGGCAGTAAGCCTTGGACCTAAATCCACCCACCCTTTGATCTCGATTACATGGCGACCCTGGTTTATGACAGCATTTTGAAAACCGCTACTGACAGCATGCTTCAGACGGCGTAAACAGAATTAAATCTTACTTTATTATTTCCTGGACAGGGAGCAACAAAAAAAATGATTCAACCCCGCTTGAAGAAAAACAGTCGATTTCAAAACAAGCGCAAAAACCGCCCGGAATCTGACCGCGACTGGCGGAATCTTTCCGCGCCGCCCCTTCAATGCCCGCTGCCTGGCATTTTACCGCTAGTGTGCCCCATGCGCCGCCACCGCCGCAGAGGAACAAAATAATACTTTAAAAGCAATTCGCTGCTATTTTTTCGCTTTGGCAGATAGCCGCCGCCGCCGCCGCCACCACTTCCGCCACCCCGCCCCATAACCACCGAAGAGGAACGTAAAAAACAAAATATCTTCTGTATGGAAGCGAATCGCGCCCCGTACGTACCGCAATATCGGGGCGCGCACAGTTCAAAACCGCCAGAGCACAAGAAGAAGATACCAACAACAACAACAAAACAGAGACAGACAGGAGAATGAAGTCAAAAAGAGATAGTTAACTGTGGGCGAAATGCGTTTGCAAAGTGGTTAACTTACCCATTTTGGTGTCAACTGATAAGGTGTTATTTCAAATTCAATGATCAAACTGAGGCGGGAGAATTTTCCTTGATTTAAAAAAGAACTAAACCCTCAAATTGCTGTTAATCGCGCCCATAGTGGTACCATTAGCGAGCGCGAAGCACCACAACCGGTTTGGACGCATCAAAACTACATGCGGTGTTTTTTGCCCCGTATATTTTCCACTCCTCTTCACAACACGCCCGTTCTCTTAACAGCAGAGCCCCCCCGATTGTCTGTTTCTGGACTGATAGCGTTCTGTTGTATCTTCTGCCCGACTTCATAGCCCAATAAACAGCGCTCATCTTACTGATAAGATTTCCCCAGTTCCAAAGTTCACCGTGCAGTTCTGGAAACGGAAATCCACTTACCAAAAGCTCTGCATCGAGTTGCGACCGGATTGCACCGGGTTCACCATTGGATTCACCGGATCCGGTTGAATTTCCCGACCCATTGGTCGTTGCAATCGGTGCCGAAGCCACCGTCATGTTGTACACCAGATTCTGGCAAGCGGAAACCGTGATCAGTTCACATTTGAGCTCTTCCACTGCCCTAACCGAATGCACCACGAACAAAACTGACAGCATTAATCCTAGCAGGCTTCTGAAATCGCCCTGCGTTGCCATGGTTTCTCGACTATCAACAATCACTGCTTCTTTTCGATATTTCAGACTTCAGACTCACTGCACTTTGCGGGTTTTTTGCTTCTAAACAACGCTCATTGTACGATTCGCATCAAACCCTCATAAAGAATCACTCGAAACTTCTTCTAACTGACTCACTATTACGATATATTTTTATTTTTCAATCAAATTTCACCCTCTTCAAACTCCATACACCACATCGTCAGCATTACAACCGATTCTAATCTTTTGCGCAAAAACCCCGTCTAGGAAGGTAAGTGGCGCACACTTCAAAGAGTTCTGTAACTCCGTAACCGAACGCCCGATATTCGCACACACTGGATAAAATCGAGCTGCGAAAAAGCACGTCCGTACTCGTCAACCGTTTCTCAATGACTGACTCGAGACTCCGATTGACTGAAGTTGAATCGATCCGTTCAGCGACGGAAGGACGGATGGCACTGACGGGCGGACGGACGGAGAACGCTTCAAAAGAGAAGAGTAGTCAGGCAGGCAGCCGTCGATTGAAGTTGACCGCCCCTGTGTTCGTTCGCTGTATGCTGGTCTGATGGCTGCCGTCGCAAATACGTTTTGTTCTTTTGCGCTCCTTTTTGGCTTCGATTCGAACCACCGACCGACCGATCATCCAAGCGAGTATATGAGTGCGCACATTGTGAGGGTTTTGATTTCGCTCTCTCCGATGGCTCTCAGAAGAAACCAACCTCGAACCAGCGTCGAAGTAGACGGCGATTTGGAAGCAGCTTGCATGCGGTGCGGAATGATACCAAGCCAGTGTTGAATGTTTACAGCGTGTATCGTAGAAAGGCCGCACACAAACACGTACATGTGGGTGATAGAAGCGGTGCCAGATTGCTACCGAAGTCCTTTTGATGAGCTTTTTTTTAAAAGTTCAATGGATTATCTTTGACCACGTATTGGCGTTGACGGCACCGCCGAAAAATCGTCTCTTCTAGCAAAGATTGACAGTCTCGTTGACAGTTTCTTATAAGAATTTTCAGTGGAGTGAAAGGATAGTAAGAAGTGTTACCGTTTGTAACATTTGTTGATGTATTTCTGTATGTTTATCGTATTCTGCATGTCCATTTGAATTTAAATAATAATTGCCAATTTGATACCCCTAGTTTTAGTACACTATACAGTACCACAGTTTACTACCAACTGCTGGAATAGGTGATGAGCCAAAAATTTGAGTTCAGTGGAACAGAAGAGAATGGGTACGAGAAGTACAGAGAAAGGGAACGGCGAGTAGCACGGAAACTTCTTCCGCCACTTGCCAAGTAACCTTAAACGAGAGCAGTTGAACAATCTAAAAAAAACCGTTAAAATTATATAGAAGACAAGTAAGAGTGCCATAGTAGCAGGAGTGGAGCGAGAGAGTCAGGTATGGTACAGGGATGGAAAAGGTCACATGTCACAATCGGGCCTAAGACCGTTTCTTTTGTGCACTATAGGACCCGTTAAGTTTTTCCATTAAGAACGCTCGATCGAGGGGTTCGGCCAGATCACGCCGACAGGCCTTCCGTGAGCGATTGACCGCTGGAGAGCCAGTTCCGTTCGACGGCCCGGAGGATAGGACCACTTTGGACCTTTCCGTTCCGAACGAGTTCCAACCGGATTCATACCCCGATCGTTCCCGCAGAGCCACAGAATCCTGAGAGGGACCCGCCAGTACCCCGTGTAAGGTGCCGGGACATAACCTCCCACCGAAGAAGACACCTCTCCACAGTCCACCATTGTGACTTGGCATACTTACTGGCGCCACCAAACGCCCTTAACCAACCACCGTCACCATCACCAACACCGTAGTCTCCGGTGTAACCACGGCCAGCGTCACCGCCATAATCGCCGCCACTACGGACGTTAACAACGCCGAATCCACCACCAGCCTGTACAGCATCACCACCGCCGTATCAACCACCACCACGTGCAGCATCACCGCACAAAAGACCCAGCAGTCGCCGGCCGGCCAGGTATCTGAAGAAAACCTACACTATACACGCCACACACACACACCCATAGAATGTAATTGGTAGGGAAATAAACCTCTAAAGTGTAATTCATTAGCTTTTTCCCTTCAATCACACTATATCCGAGTTCTGATTAGCCCGGTAAATCACTCCAGCCGACCTTGAGGCTAAGAATTGCCCTCCAGATCGAGCTAGCCATCAAAAGAGGTCGTTGAATGACCCACCCTCATTGGTAGGCCGTTGCTTAGCCAAGCCCGCCGAGGTGTTTGTCCTGGTAGCCCCCTAGGTACCCCACCCTAGCAGCAACAGAAGTCCCCCATGTTTCACGCACAATCTGACGTTTACTTATGAATTTCACCATAGAAGTAAAGAGCTACAGAGTCACCGTCAATGCTAATTGTTGATGGTCTCTGAAGACTGTTATACCAACCGGTGGAAACTAACGATTTTAAATTGGCTCATTACTTGACTAGCCTATTGGTCCCAAGAAAATCGATTAACGTACCCCATTCTAGTCAAAATTCTAGTACTACACTATGTTTGTTTTGATTCGCTATGAAAGTTTGACAGATAAAATGAGGGGTTCGCGGATTTTCCTATGTTTTGAGGGGTGCATCGATTAGCTGGGGACCGAAGAGAGTACCAGTGCTGAACCAAAAAGTTGAGCACGTTTCTTCGGGACCTTCTGGTTATACCTTTGCTATCAATTGGTTTGATTACTTTGCCATCGTACCTAGAACTAAAAATACCTTGCTCGCATGTTGACAGTTTACTGTTGTTTGTTGATGCCCGTGCGTGATCAAGTGCGTTTCATGTTTTCCGCTCAGAGAATAATGTAAATTCGTGCTTAATAAGAGCAAAATTGATGAACATCAAACTGTTACGATGTGGTTTACTCGACCAGTCAAAACAGATCTGACGACGAGGATGAGTTCTGGAGAAAATACTGGAGGAGGTAACGTAGGAGGAAGTGCTGCTGCTGTTGGTGCTCCGCCACCAAATTTCGTAATTGATCCTTGAATTGAATTGAAGAATTGAAAATCTTGAAATGGATGCGGCTGTTGAAAAAGTAGACTTCTCTGACGTTTACAAAATGCTTAAGCGTGATTCAGCGTTGTAAGATGCTTTTCAAGCTTATCGTTTAAAGGTTTTAAAAATCGATATTTATCAGCATTTATTATTCTTAATAAATTTTACATTTTTGCCATTTTTTTAAGGCCAAAATTTAAACTTATGGACTAAGAACGGAGAATCTACTTCCAGCAGAAATCAGAAGGAAATTCTGGAAACTGTTTGAACTAGCAGTAAGCTAAAAACAAAAAAAAAAAACTTCCTATAAAGAAGAAACAACCCTTCTGGAGGATGTTTGAAGAAAGTTTCCAGGAGAATGAAATTTCCAGGGGAAGCCAGAAGAAGCTCGGAAAAACATTCCTAAAGAAGGAAGCTCATTGCGAAACTCCAGAGGAGACTCCGACGGTGACATCCAGAACAGACAACAATCAACGCAACGCCTCCACAAGCTGCCGTACACAGAACCACGAATTCGGCCTCCGTTGATGATAACGTAACCCTTTGTTGCTTCCGTGTCAACCACATTACTGTGCCGCCGTACACTCGTGGAACGCAGCCAGCGATGGATCGCCTGTCGTTCAAATCGTTGCCGTTTTAGGGAGCACCAGTGCTCGTTAGTTGGGCAACTTTGGTTTTGGCTGAATAGATTCACCGCCGTACACAGATCTAGACGTGAGCTTTTTGCGACATATGCCAAACAGCCTCAAACCAACAATCAATTTGAAACTAACGATTTTAAATTGGCTCACTACTTGACTAGCCTATTGGTCCCAAGCAAATGATTAACGTAGCCCATTCTAGTCGAAATTCCAGTACTACTCAATGTTTGTTTCGATTCGCTATGAAAGTTTGACAGATAAAATGAGGGGTTATTGGTTTTTCCTATGTTTCGAGGGGTGAATTGATTAGCTTGGGACCGAAGAGAGTACCAGAGCTGAGCCAAAAAGTTGAGCACGTTATTTCGGGACCTTCCAGTCTTGGAGTTACCCCTATGCCACAGAACAGAAGGGGAAGTGCAAACAAATCGGTGAATCAAAAAGTGCTCGTTTTTCTGCTCAACGAGCGATGTGATGTGGTAGCGTTCCACATGGGCTTTCTATGTGCACTCACACTATCATAGCATGCTGCCTATCTTAACTGCAGGCCGAAGATGCCTTCTACCGCTAGGTGCGCTAGTGTTCGCAAATGACCAGTGGAGCCACTTTCTGATTCGAAGTTCCACTCCTGTGCCTATGCTCAAACTCTCTATATGGCTGAGTTGTTCTTTCCGCCTCCGCACCCTTCTTCAATTTCAGTCGGCATCCCATCGGCGTCGATACCGGCTCACAATCCTCCATGCCAAACGTGCCAAGAAGGCTCTCCAGGTACACAAGCTGAGTGATCCGCAAAGTTCGGTTATGCACATCCCTTTCGATGTGCATGCCGAGGAAGCTTCCAACCTGCCCTAGGTCAGACATCTCGAACTCAGCTGCAAGACGCTTCTTCAACTTCACGATATCCATCAGCCTTTGGCCAACGATGAGGATATCGTCAACGTACCGTAGCAGAAACAACTTCGAGTCACCCTCTCCACGTATGTACAAGCATCAATCATTCTCGCTACGCCAAAATCCAAGCTTGGTCGCCAACTCGTGGAACTCGTAGTTCCAGGCCTGGATGCCTGTTTTTGGTCGTACAGCGCTCGATTCAGCCGACAGACAACATCCGGTCTGTGAAAATCTCGTTACTCCGACGAGATCGCTCCCTCTTGAGGCTACTCACCGGCTGTGTAGACGTCTGTTCACGGCGACGGCGACAGATGGAATGCGATTCGCATATGCGAAAGAGGACGAGTGGCAGTGTCGATTGCGCTCGTCGTCTGACTCGGTTGAGCATTCGTGTTTCCAACGATCGTTCGTAATCGTGCCACACTGCCGTGTTGCACGAACATTATCGGCTGACATCTCTATTCATAGGGTGACACATTTATACCCCACATCTCCCTTCACCACTCGACAAAAAAAAAAAATAAAAAAAG